TCAACTAGCAATCACGTTAAAGATTGTTACAATAGTCGCATGTTACCATTTAGAGTTAATGCTAAGCACTGTGTTTAAGGTTCCTACCATTCTCAACCGGCATAGAAGCTAATAAATAGTACAAGTTGTCAATATTAATGTATAGCTAGCTATCTACTGACCTCCATTTCCTTTATTACTTGATAAATGGGTCTTTATACTTAGGCTCTCCACAATTGCAATATATAGTATGTCTAAGAATTATTAGGTTGAATAGTATCGGATTAGTGATGAGGTCGAATTAAGAAGTGCAACGAAGCCCCAAAATTACTTAACCCTGATTTTAGTAAAAGCGTAGATCTTAACACAGATCTATTATTTAAGTCACAAAACTTAATCAATAAATAGTTTAGTTTAAGGTACATACGTATTCCAACAATTACAGTATATGAGAAGTAAAGGAATGATCATGAGCGAGAACTTCCGATGGTAGACAGAAATTCAAGATTTAGTTACGCGATCTAATTGTATTGTCACTAAACAGTATGAACCACAGAATTTTGATGATAAAGATAACATGATAGTAGATAAAAATTTATTATTATTTCTTGAAAACAATAATATAAAGTTACTTCTTACGTCGATATAAATATAAATTTATTGTTCTGGGCCATAAATTACGCAGTGATTTTCCCTTCTGCCTCGTGTACATCCTTATTTCGGTATGTTCATAGTTTAAAATTGAATCTATTTTGATAAAATTTGCTTTTAAAATTAGTATGCAAATTATATATACCTCTGAAAGAGCATGTCGAATATGCTAATTTTATGACCAGCCCTAAAGTGTAACGTGGATAGAGGACTTTTAGCCACATTTCTGGCTTTTGGATTTGGGTTTAAAGGTGTTAGTAAGGTAGGCATAAATTAAAATTTTGAATGATTTCAGTGTGGATAGTTGAATAAAATTGTTAATTGTTATGTGTTATAACAATCATTATAACAATTTCAAGAACGGATTAATTAAATATATCATCTTATTAAGGATGAAATTGATACAGTTTTGAAAATGGGGGCGGCACCTGAAAAAATTGTTTTTGCGAATCCGTGCAAGCCAATTTCTCATATAAAGTATGTTTTAATAAAATATCATCTTGCAAAGACTTGATCAGTAAGCAGGACAAAGTGGACAGATGTCCAATATGTATGTACGCTGCACTCGGTACCTACCATTTTATTTGCTGGATTACTAATTCTTGTGCTTGTTAATAGCAAATCCTGTGACTTTTCATAAATGTGAGTTTATGAAAGGCGAATGCGGCTGGAAACAATTACGAGCTGTTGACTTTACCGACTGGGAACGTGGTAAGTATATCAGTTTTATTACTCTACAATTTTTAATTTGCAGCTATGTCGTTGCCAAAATTTTAATCGAAAATTTTGTCCAATAAATCAAATTAAATACTCTAATCAGGATTGCAAGAATAGCGCAAATTCCAGTTTACTATTGGGAATTTAGCTATAACTTCAATATCATAACCTGATTTCTTGTTCAATGCATATTTTCGTCTACTTTTAAAAGATGCTAAAATAGGAATGGTTCTCAATTCCAAATATGAGAACATTAATGGCCAATATGCGAATATGATTATTCCCCCGATGGTGAAATCTCATGAAGCAAAATCAATTAGGATATTCAGACATTAATGTAACGGACATTTCCTCTTAGTTGTTACCGAAATTCGAAATTGAATTACATAAAGCTGGGTAGACAATTACCAGAAAACTTTAATCCATTCTATTTAGCGATCACCAGCATTAGAGATAGATATTTCGTACGATGTAATCAAATAATGTGATAGTCAATAACAAATCGATAGACGAAGTAACATAAGCTTCATGCTTTCCATCATCAGGTGCAAATCTCATTTGGATACAATGGTTCATACACCGGAAATTTATACGTTATGGTCATGTATCCGAAGTACAGTGATAAATTAAAAGTAATCGATACAATCAACCCACAGTCGGCTTTACTTGGACCACTTACTATTACACGTTATCAAATATTCTTTTCTCCTCTATATACTGATTATCAGGTATATCTTAATATTTTATTTTGGATATTTATGATATTGCAATATGATGTCAAAATTGCTTGATAGTAATTATTTACATGGTTATACCTTGCGAGTAAGCACCTTAAATCCTAATTGTTTCAATCAAAGTATAATGACTAAAATCACAATCAGTTATGCAATATATTAATGTAATGAAATGAAATATGTAGAGATCAAGCTACAAAACTTTAACAAACTTTCATTCTACTTTCGTAGCACTCCGGTCGACTTAACGCTAATACTTTGACACCAAATAAAATTTGGAGAAATAACCGAACAACAATTTATTTCAAAACAAAAATGGAGAGAAGTATAAACCGAACAACCGCACAAATACTTAGCTTTAAGTATTATTAAAATAAATGACAGACTTAAAAACTGTCAACGACCAAACAACCTTTCAAAAACAAGAACGTTTTAACTTACGACAATTCGACCCCGAAGGCCTTTTAAATTCTACAAGTTCTTCAAATAAAATCTTCTCCTACTCTCTCTCTAAATTTTCTAATTGCACTATCATTTATAGGCTCCGTAGAGCCGTCAGAGGTATTTAAAACTAAACATTTGCTAACCAATCGCTCTTAAGATCCGTTTTACAAAACTACTTTGCACCATTTAAGAAAACAAAAATCATTCAAAGTTCAGACACAATTTACCCTACGATTCCCTTACAAAACACTATAAAACTAACAAGCTAACTATAAAAATACATCAAACTTCATTTCTAACATAATTTCTATCATTAATACACTATAAAAGTCTAAAAATTAACCTTTAAACATCAAGATTTAGTCATAAAAACAACATTCTAACTACCTAACAATCAACACAACCTCTACCAATTTCCATCTTATTTTCTATTTTCCTCACTAAATCTCCTAATGTGACTTCAAGTCACGTCATAAAATTCCAAAGTTTCAAATTCATAACAAAAAGTCCAAATCTCAAAATCAACTCTTACGATATTTTTCATGAACAAAAATCCAAAAATTAAAACA